TGAACCCTTACTTCTTAATTCAGTGCAGGGTTACCTGGATGCCATCAATTTATAGTATGTAGATAGTTTTTTTAACACTTTTACCAACCTGTTCTCTTTTTGTGCTCCATTGTACGAAAACATATGGCCATGAAGCTCTCATTGCAATGGAATTTTGCAAAGGCCTGTGTGATGACTGGCTGCTGTGAATATTTTTGGCAATGCAGTTTACAGTAAAAGTCTACTGTGGTTTGGTGCTGTTGTAATGACAGAGCAAGAGTGCAACCGATTCAGTTTTTCTCCTGCGCTCAAATATTCCACAACATCTGGTTATAGGAGTGCATGAGCTACGTGAGAAAAAAATGAGGGAAGATACTATAGCTGGCGAAAGATTACACCATTTATTTTGTCTTCCAAAGCCATAAACAGTACTGAAGTAGCACAGACCGCAGTAGCTCTCTTCCTCTAGATCTCTAACCATATACAGCGCTCTAGTTCTTAATCTTTCACAAAACAAAACCACTTTTCACGATAGTCTCAGTTATTTTTTCTCTATTTTAGTACAAATCTTCCTCTTTCGCTTTGCCACTTTTGCCATGCATGCACTGTTTACTTTGGCTTTCAAACTGATATCATGTGAGAGTGTGCCGTTCTGTACTGTAAATATTTACTGAGTTATTGGCTCAGCCAGCTCTATGCTTTCAGCTATGAAAACATAACAAAATCTCCCTACTTCTCTTCGGCCTTCGTGCTCAGATTAGGATTTCTAGATAAACCCCCACTTATCGCTGTCGGTTTTTGTTTTGTTTCTCACCATGCCTGTCTCTGTTAAAAATTTACTTCATATTATCTCATCTTTCACAGCCTTTGGACACAGTAAAGTTCAGGTCAAGTATAAGAAGAGATTATTAGATGATTTTTTGTTTTGTTCCATTTTTATGTTTCACTATTTGTTTTCCCCTGTATTGCCTCTTATGCATTTAAACATAGACTCTCCTCACTTTCTTATATTGCAGGTTTCACAAGGTTGATTTAAATATTAAAATATAAATAACACCACATGCACAAAAACAAAAATGTAACCTTCAACAAAACCAACGACCAGTAACTGCTTCATAAATGAAATGCCAAATACATCAATTTTAGTTGCATCAAAATGAACTACAAAATACAGCGGCCATAAATGCATCAAAATAAATCCATTAAATAAATCCATAATCCATTAACAGACCTATTGGATCAATCCCTTCATCATTAAACTGACTTAGTGAAGCAAGCAATGTTTGATAACACATGTTTCTCTGCCACTGTTTCACCTATAGGGGGTTGTGGCATAATGGTTTGAGAGTTGAACTTGTAACACAAGGTAGGTTTTTTTGAGATTAGTATAAATTTTGGACAAATTTCATACAGAAAGTCCTGTCTTAAAGATGATATCCTTTGGTTTAAATCATTTACTACAGATAATGAGTCAGAACATAGTACTGTATGCTGATTAAGTATCACCCATTGAGTGACCAGTAAAATTCCCATCATCCCAAGGGTGACAGGCCTTTATGATGAGTTCATTTTAATTTTTTTTTAACAGAACTTGCAATTAAACTCTTCTATACTCACTGTAAAACCTGATTTCTGAAACTTCCAAAAACTCTGCGACATAAATATCTGTTTTTGCAAGTAAACTCACATATATGTCCCACTGCTGCCGTGTAACAGGAGACTGGAGTATCATTAAATATTTGTGCTTCATATATTGTGACATTTTGACATCTTTAGGCATACATATTTCATCTTCATACAGTGCACCGGCAGATCAGCTACTGGTAGCCTATTTGAAATCAATGAATTGGAGGTATGGTCAGTGTAGGACTAGGAATGTCTTATTTTTTTCCGATCTACTTCAGCAATTCATCCATTATTTGTACAGTATACTCCTTCCTTCCCAGATTTTTTTACTTCCTCTTTAACTAGAAGATTCTCGGTTTAGTTCTTGCAAAGTATTTTACAGTATTTTGAAGCTATAAAAATACAAGACATAAAGTATGTTTGATGCAAAATATTAAGTCAATTTCATAAACCCGGTCAAATACAAAATTACAAAATACAGTGTTTTTAAATTTTGTATTTGTAATACATGTATCATAAATACTGTGTAGCAAGTATGATTTGATTTGTCGCGATAGCATATTTTTCAATGTGGGCCAATTGGTCAGAAGAGAAAGAACGGCTACTGGAGAGAGAAAAGCAGCACAGCAGATGAGTGAATAATCAAGCACAGTCATTTTTTTCTTCAATATAGTTTATATAATTAGAAATATGTTATGTGTTTGTGAATTTCTGTTCAATAAGTCTAAGTATTTATGTATAAATAGGTTCAATTATAAATTATAATAATGAAAAGTAAATGATTTTCTCTTTTTTTCTTTACACAGATGAACTTGAAGTCAATATACAGTTTAAACAAAGTTGTGATCAAGACAATCTGGAAGTTTCCAACACTTGAAACAAAATGAAAATGAATAAATATCTTGGAAAAACTACAACACTGTTACTTTTTGTATAAAACAACGTAAAGAAAGCAATAACTTGTAATAAAAATACTTGGCAGACTCAACTGTAATCAAAAAAGGAAAATAAAGAAACGAATCAAAAATAAATGACTCAATTCAACTCAAAATACAGGGTGGAATACAATATTCACACTTTCAACTATAAATCATTACACTGTTCAAGTGAATCGTTTACTGTTTACCGTTCAAAAGAATTGCTCAACTGTTCAAAAGAATCGCTCCACTGTTCAAAAGAATCGCCCCACGGTTCAAAAGATCGTCGCACTGTGTAAAAGAATCGTTTCACTGTTCAAATCAATCGTTTCGCTGTTCAAAAGATTTGTTTTGCTTTTTTCCGTACACAGTTCAATAATAAAAGATTCCGTTCAAGAGAACTGCTGATTCTCTCAGTTCAGCTCCACAGCTCGTGTTTTTCCGTTGAGAATTCAAGGAAAAGAAAGAAGAAGACAGGAGGATCGCGATGTCCAAGTCTCGTTTCTTCAAACAAAAACAAAAGAACTCTCCTACCAGTCCAATAGCTCAAACACACAGTCTAGTAGGTGAATCGGTTCCGTGGGTGGTTCGCCATACAGAAGTTTCGAGTCCAGTGTAAACCAGGGACTCGTCACAGTTGCTTCGACTCACACAAAAAAAAACCAGCCTTGCAAAACACAAGGCAAACATCAATTAATAGAATGTCTTTAACAATAAATTTCATATATACACGCTTCATATGCACATTTACTCAACATATACACACACTGATCATAACGTTCCTCAAATACCACATTTTGACACTACTTTAAATCATGTTAAAATAAAAACAATAAAAAAAACCACGAACTCACCAAGGAAATAATTCAAAATGAAAGCGAAAAACCAGGAAAACTCCAGGTGGCACTCGTGTGCAGATTTCACTCTCAGATACAAATCTTGTTTTTTCTCTCAATCCTTCATTAAAAATATATGATAGAAATCATTTCAGCATCATATTAATGGTCATTTTTCACAGTTAATACGCATTTAAAACATTAAAAGATATAAATCTAATAGTTTTCTACTGTTATTAATATAACAACTTACATCTCTGCATTCCCTTGCGAACACTGAATCACCATAGCAACGGTAAACACAAGCTAACAGACAAGAGAGATTTGTTATTGTTTGTAAAGCTGATCTGCTGCTACAGTGTAAGGCAGTAAGGCACGACGATGTCATTCTAAAGCACTACTCCCTTGAGTGCTGTATTATAAATTATTTATATATTGTAAATAAATAAATGTAGTATATATTATTTAATCGAGTATTCTGCCAATGTTTTTTCATATTTCTAAGGATATTTATATTTTTTCTATTGCTGTGTATTACCCACTAGTAACCTGGGTTATCCGGGTTACATCTGCCCATCCCTGACTACGGCCAATTTAGTTTATTTAATTAAGCTTTAGCGCATGTCTTTGTACTGTGGGGGAAACTGGAGCATCCGGAGGAAAACGACGCCAACACGGGGAGAACATGCAAACTCCTCACAGAAATGCCAATTGACCCAGTCAGGACTTGAAGCAAGTGCTAACCACTGAATCACCGTGTCGCCCCAGATGCACAATTGCTATAATAAAATAATCTGACATCAATGTATAATAACCACTAAAAGTTCTGCACCGGGTAACCCAGCATGTGGGTTAATGTGCTGATGTAGATGATAATAATGAAGATAACTCATAATGACCCTGTATTTTTATGGTTCATTATCGTCTGATTATGTTTCGTGCCCTAATGTTATAACACTGGCTATTTTTAAGGTAACATTTAGAGATATAAATTTTATAAACGTTTGCATCATTTATTAACACATGTATCCACTAGATGTAATTTATCCATCTAAAGCAGGGGTGCACAAACCTTTTCGTGTAAAGGGCCAAAATCCAAATATCATTGATAGCCATGGGTCGAAAACAAATATACCCAACTATTAAGTTGCCATGTGTAATTTTCTAATTACTTCCAGAATATTTATAAATAAAAAACATTAATTTGAATCGAATTAACTAATGCAGTATAACTTTAACGTATTGCAATAAAAACAAATCACATTTATAACAGTGTAGTTCAGTGCTGTATGCACTAGTCAAGCAGAATCTGCCCTTGCTTTGATTCACTCACCAAAGCCTCTGCATTGTTGTCTATCCGTCGGGTGACAGTGTGTACATTTTAAACTAAATACGATAAACTTAAACCATTTAAATTGAGCATTTAATTTCAGATAGCTTTTTTGTAACACATACAATGGTACATTAAATTATAATAACAATCTATAAATCATCCTCATCATTCTCCCTCTCTTCTCAGATGGGATGGTGAGCCAAATTTAAGGCCCTATTTTGGGCATCTCTGCTCTGAAGCCTGATGCTCTCCTAAGCTTCTTTCTCAATAGGGCGTTTGAAAAAAACACTCCATGTGTCCCTTCACTGTGTCCGTACGAGGCCTAGCTAGTAAGCTAACAAAATATCGGAAAGCGTAAACAAACGCTTAAAATTCGTTAATCTTTAATAAATTAATGCTTTTCGATTGTAGTTCGTGTACTAATACACAAGGTGAATCTGGAGAGAATCTCGCAGTCGTGTGTTGGAAGGTGAGATTGGCGCTTTTCTTGCTAATCTGCGTGCGCGCGGAGGGCGTGATCTGAGGTCTGTTATGCATGTGCATATCAGCTACACAAATAACACGTACAGCTAAATGCTTTGTTATTACTAGCATTATCGAAGTGCTCCGTTTTTGTTTAATGTGTTAAGTGTTGTTCAGATTTTATGGAGTGTATACACGTCCATGTTTAGCAACAAAAGTATAGTCAAAAGCTATATGTTTATCTTCTCGAGGGTTGCTTTAATTCCAGTCTTATTTATTATAATTAAATCAAAATTACTTTTTTACAGGTATAATGGCTTTAGTGTCAGCAGACACCAAAATCGCTGAGTTGCTAAATGAGTTGCATCAGCTCATAAAGCAAACCCAGGTGAGTTTGCACCAGCACTGTAGTATATGGCTTTATAAAACAATCACTTTACTCCAAAAATAGAGTTGCTATGTTTATATTGATGGTTCAGTGAATAATTTCTAACATCTGTGAAACATTTAGATGAATTGGAGGTAAAGTTGGCATATTAGCAGCCAATGACTGTCTAAGTATAACATTGTTCACAATCAAATAAATTATGCTAATGTTGTTTTCAAGTCATACTTGCATGTGATTTTCGACTGAAATTCAAAATTACCATGGTAAACAATATAGGGAGCTTGTCACTGAACCAATGTGCCAATATAAAACCAACTTTACCTTAATTTATGATGACAGGTTTTCAATATTTTAGATGCATGGTCCCTAAATCTGTTCACTCCTGTGCAAAGGACTTCCATAATCTATTTGATATGTAATTAATATTGTATTATTAATAAAAAATATCTAGAAAATACAATGTTAAAATTAGTTTTGTTTGGAGTAAAATAAAATAGTATTTGGTAAGCATTTATTTTTGTTAAGTTTTGTTAAGTTACATTATATAGGCTATAGGCTAAAATCTCCAACTTGTAGTACAGCATTTATGCATTTATTTAATTTACTTGTTTAAAATAAAAATGTATTCCTAGTAATCTAATTTGTATTTTTTTATTGCATTTAATCGCAGTTTTTTGTTTTTGTTTTTTTATGAAATCGGAGATTACTCCTTTGAATCTAAATTGAATCATTTTTGTTTTAATTCGTGTATAATTATTATTCTTTGAATCCCGTTATTCCAGTTTTTCTTTTTAAAATATTTTAATCTTATTTTAATTTTATTAATTCATTTTTTATTAATATTTCTTTTCATTTTAATTGTTCATTTATTTTTTTAACATTTGTACATTTCCATCCACCTCCTTGAATTCCCTTGTGGCCTGCTGGACCCCAGTTTAAAAATCTCCTGCTTTAGAATCTTATTCAAATGTTCTTTACACTAAGAAATCAATGGTTCTAACAGGACAGTTCACCTCAAAATTTAAATTCTGTCTTCATTTACTCGTCCTCCACTTCTTTCAAACCTGTTTGAGTTTTGTTGAACATCAAAGAAAACATTTTGAAGAAAGACAAAAAGCGGCAGTCAATGACTTCCATAGTATGTTTTGTTTCTACCATGGATGTCGGTGGCTGCTGTTTTCAGGCATTTTTCAAAATATCTTCTTTTGTGTTGAACACAAACAAAGAAACTCATACAATTTTAGAGCCACCTGACTTGTGTGAGTAAATGGTGATTACATTTTAATTTTGGATAACTTTAAGAGCTCTTTACTTAACACTTTCATAGAATTACTGCATAAACACGATTTGAAAGCTTAATTTTTTAAGGAGTTTTTCTGCTCAGTTTAACCTCACATGGTATTTATATCCTCATTTCTGTAAAACACTCACAGGAAGAGCGATCGAGAAGCGAACACAACCTTCTCAACATCCAGAAAACACATGAAAGGATGCAGACAGAAAATAAAAGTAAGGCCTACAAATGTAATCACAAATGTAATCATATATGTGAATTTAATTTGCCCCACATTGAATATGCTATATCTTCTTCCTCAGCCTCTCCATATTATCGGACTAAATTGAGAGGTCTTTACACCACAGCTAAAGCAGATGCTGAGGCAGAATGCAGGTAAGCTAAAGTGAATGTTGCTTGCGTTTGGTTTCTCTTGATGCACATGTATATTAATGCAAGTGATGCATTTTTACTTTAATTTTATTTTAGCAACAGGTACATGAGGACCAGATGTTGAAATTGTTCTATTCAGTGTTGACTTGTTTCATTTCACTTGAACTGAAAGTGCCTTGAAAATGTAAGACTATATAGCGCCACCTTGTGGTACTTTTGCCAAAGTCTCTCAAAAGTACAGAGTTATACCTAAAATTGTATACAAGGCAATTAACAACACAAATTAATGATGTATATTAAGTATTTTTTTCAGCAACTAGGATGTCTTAAGAGCTAGTAAAATTGCAAAACAAACACTTGATTATGTTTGATTATGTACATATTTACTTGATTATTAATAGGGCTGGGCAAAGATTAATTGTAATTAATTACATTTAAAATAAAGTCTGTTTGACAATTTGACATATGATTAACACACATACATAAATCTACATTTGTATCATATATATATATATATATATATATATATATATATATATATATGTATGTATGTATGTATGTATGTATGTATGTATGTATGTATGTATGTATGTATATATATATATGTTATATCCAAATACAAAAAAAGTCTCAAATATTTGCATACATATATTTATTTATACATAATAGATATTTTAAGTTTGTACGTAATTTTGGATGTGATTAATCAAAGTATAAACTAATTTTAGAAAATACTTAAGCATCAAATATGATGCATTAGGCCTTTGAGGAATGAGCATTGTGTTGTTTTAAAAATAAATACAATCCTATCAAGTATATTATTAAGATATGAATTCATAATTATATGAATTTCATGTAACTAGTCAGCTATGCATGGAAAGATTTCATTGTTTAGATGCAAGCTTTTAGAATTTCATCATGCCTTTTTTGGCCATATAACTAAATAACAAACAACAACTGTGTCAGAGTGCACACCTTCTTTTCCTCAGTCTGAATCAATGTATTCTTTCTTTATAAATCAGGTTTTACAGTGTTAAACGATCTGATTTATCTCAATCCCTTCCGCAGTATACTTCGACGGGCGCTTGACAAAATTGCTGAAATTAAATCTCTTTTGGAGGAGAGACGGATTGGTGAGTGTAGGATTTTTGCATCAGGCAATTGCGGAAACCTATTGACACTTCACTTACAACAGGCATGTCCAAACTGCAAAGTTTAGTTCCAACCCCAATCAGACACCCCTGGGCTAGCTAATCAAGCTTTTAATATGCTTTCTAGAAACATTTTTGCAGGTGTTTAGAGGCAAGTTGGAGTTAAAATCTGCAGGACACTGGCCCTCCAGGATCGAGTTTGAACACCCCTGACTTACACCATTTGGTCTCTGTCTGCATTATTTTGATCATGTGACTTTATTAATGTTTATGTATATATATATATATATATATATATATATATATATATATATATATATATATATATATATATATATATATATATATAAACATTAATAAAAAGTTTTGGAAAAGTCTGGAAAAGTTTTGGAAAAACAGAAAAATCCACAAAGTTTTGGAAAATTCATGGAAATTAGTTTAACAAATATCTGTATACTTGAATTAGGGCTGCGTGATTTTAGAAAAATCTGACATTACTATGTTTTGTATTTCTGTGATATATATTGCAATGTAATTAAAATTTAAGGTTTATTTGGATTGTTAGGGGGATTTTGTAAGGGAGTGAATCTCAAATAATATATAACAGATAAATTACAAACATATATAAATAAATTATAGTTAAAATAAGGGAATGATAGTTTTCAGTTAATCATTATTCAGGGACAGTTATTGAATAATCAACACTGCCTAGTCTTCATTTTATATTATTTAATCTTTCTTGAAGTTACTAAAAAATAAATGTTTTATATATTATATAAAATATTGAAATGTTCACACAGTCACTCACTCAAAGATTAAAATGTACTCACTATTTACTCTCACTTCACTTGTTAAATTACATTATTTTTGTGCTCATTAAAAAAAGAAAAGAAAACTCATAAATGTTTCTGTTAATCTCTTTGAAATGCCTGCAGGGGATAAACTTTTAATCCATTATGATTAAACTCTATATTAAACTATAATGCCATATTTATTGCTATATTTAGTACATTAAAATACGGCCAATGTTACCAGTTGAAAACTAATGTATGGAAAGAGTCTTTAAAATGTTCCTAAAAGTTATTGAATTTCACTCTCTAATTCCTGTATACACTGTTATATTTTCCCCTTTCTGCAGCTGCGAGAATGGCAGGAGTGTACAGCGACAATGACCCACCCAGAAAGACCATGCGCAGAGGAGTCCTGATGACCCTTTTACAACAGTCAGCCATGACACTTCCGCTATGGATCGGCAAACCTGGCGAAAGGTACCATTCTGTACCTGCCTCTTCGGTTCATTTTAGAAAATGTTGTCAGTGCTAATAGCTTAGTGGTTAGTCCCTCGACATATAGCACTGAGGTGCTTACAGTGACCCAAATTCGAGTCCCGGCTCGAGGCTCTTTGCCAATGTTTTTCCTCTCTCCATCCTTTCCTGTCTCTGCTCTACTGTGCTATAAAAATAAAGGTAAAAAAAAAACAACTAAAAATAATAATACCCCCCCCCCCTAAAAATAAATAAATCTAATTGTGTAGTGGATAAATTGTTGTTATAAGTCACTAAAGATTTCTTACTCTTTCAGTCCTCCACCTCTGTGTGGCGCTATACCTGCAAGCAGCGACTATGTGGCTAAGCAGGGGGACAAAGTGGCGGCTCGAGTGAAGGCTGTGGATGGTGACGAACAGTGGATTCTTGCTGAAGTTGTCAGCTACAATCACTCCACTAACAAGTATTTATTTAGCAGTTGTTTTCTGGGATTGGCTTATTTCATTTTATTTTGTGTGAAATGGTAGCAATATGGTAATGTGATGATTTCTTTCCCAGGTATGAGGTCGATGATATTGATGAAGAGGGTAAAGAGTACGTACAGTTCCATTTATCAGTTTTGTCTTATTTTCTCACCCATACACAATTTTGGAGGTTTAAAAGGGTCGGATAGACTGTTTTTTCAATGAAGATTAAAAAAATATATATAATTTTTATGCTGCAAGGACACAAAAAATGTATGAAAAGTCACAATAAAGGAAATTTACAGTGTTATAAATGTTTTATAAACTAAAAGTAATTTAGTTATTTATAGTATTTAAAAATATATATTTAGTTTCAATAAAAATATTTCCTAGCATATCTGTTTTCAATATTGATTTCATACATCTGTGGTTTTTAACAGAAGATGGCGCTCTAGGCTAGTATATTGTACATTTGGCTGTATCATGCAAGTTGTGAGATAACTGAAAATGCACTCACTATGAATACTCTTGTACTTCGCTTATGATAAAGGCTAGAGTAATGGCTGTTAAAAATGTATTCTGATATATTTGCCAAGTTATATTTTAATGTGTCTGATCAAATACATCAAGCTGTGGATGGCATAAGCTAATACTTTGGAAAATATTTTAAAAGTTATATTTACTTCAAATTTTAAATAGCAGTTTGATTAAATAGAGAAACAAATAATGGCGTGCATATGTTCCTTATTTACTCACCTGCTGTTGTATTCAGGAGACACACGTTGAGTCGCAGAAGAATAATTCCTCTCCCACAGTGGAAAGCAAATCCTGAGACGGACCCAGAGGCCCTGTTCAGTAAAGATCAGCTGGTTCTGGCTCTCTATCCACAGACCACCTGCTTTTACAGAGCTCTGATCCACACACCACCACATCGGGTGAGCAAAACAAAACTCAAACTAGAGAAAATGTTCCTATTTCACATACAGACTTTAATAGTAAATGTGTGAACAAGCCCTTTCTACAAATATTGGATAATTTGATCTGGCAGTTTTCTGGAATGAGTTGTTGTAAATTGAGGGCACTTTACTTTTATTTACTGTTACAGTTGTTCTGCTAGTTTTATAGCAATTTACTGGTATTGCTGTGTAAAATGGGTTAAAAACTAAATTAAGTGTAGGAAAAGACTTTAACAGTTGTCAGTCTAAATTGTGCATGATTGAGGTTTGTAACAGTGCTGCTTTGAATGCTTTATCTCATCTATCATGATATTTAGTCTTATAGGATGTAATGAAGACCACAACTCCCATAATTCATACTCTGTCACTGCGTCATCAAACTATACATTTGTTAGTTGTGAATATGTGCCCTCTAGTGGTGAAAATTGCATACTGTGCCTTTAATGTCTGATAGAGATTAATTATTGTGGTTTTATGTCAACACTAGATCGTTTGTGTGTGAGATGAAGAATAGTTCATTCACATCTGACACACCTGACCTCTTTTTCCAGCCTCAAGATGACTACTCGGTTCTGTTTGAGGACACATCTTATGCTGATGGGTATTCTCCACCTCTTAACGTCGCCCAGAGATATGTAGTGGCCTGCAAGGAGAACAAGAAGAAGTGACCGAAATGTACAAAAGCAGGACGTTGTGTTCAGAAACTGCCTGCATGATTGGTGTGATTGAATTGAGAGTTTGTTCTGTTTTAATGTGCATTCGTCTCCTTTTTTTGTTTTGTTAACATGTACATATTACTGGGCCGTATATTTTGTACTGCATCTTTTTCACGCTGTTTTTGTGGATCTAAATGCAAATGAGTTGTGCTAAAGTAAATAAATCCTGTTCGTTTGAATGAAAAAAGGCACACAAATATATTGTCTGGACTCTAAACAATACAAAAATACAAGTTTTTAAGTAAAACTACGACAGATATACAGGCATACATAATCCAAATAATGTCAATCAGTATAATCTTTTAACGGCAGATGTTTTTTAAATCATTTTGTATAATACTTTTAATATATTTAATTACAATCTTGATCTTGAATTACATTATTATTGTTATTTTAAGAATAATCTATACTTTTAGATTAAAGCATAAAGGCTATTACTGTACTTTGAGTTTGTTTATTTATTCTACAAAATAGTTATACAACTCATTGTGCCCTACTACATCTTCTTTGCATGATCCCCTCTTCAACAAAATATGAAACTTTTTGAATGGTTGAGAGAATCGAGAGACTTTTTTTAAAATAATTTTTTTACTGCATAACAAGAACAGTAGCATACAAAAAAATTGAGGAATACAGTGCTTACATCTTTTCTTACATCAAAAGCCACTTTTCCACTATCGTGCTGAACCGTTCTTTATGCTGAACTGTTCTGTTCCGGGCCAAACAGCACAGATACGGTTTCATTTTCCACTGTCGTGCTGCATCAAAGCTCTTTGGAACGTTACACAAAACGCATTGCCTTGGTAACGCAATGTAATTGGCTTCCTTTGTTTAATTAAATTTAATTAAAAGTCGAAAGTTTTTTTTATGTTTATGTGTAAAAGCGAAAGCAAACGCATGACTAAACACTGTAATGCCACTCTCTCCTATAAGGGTGTTAAATATAGCTACATGTCACAGCAACGGTATTTATCTAAAGGTTGCATGTTGCGCAGCTCTGGGCAATTTTTATTTGGAGGGAAAATGACCAAAATGTAACGTGATGACTGAAAATGATTGGAGGGGAAATAAATAATATATTTAAAATCTTCGTACACAACAGAAAATTAAAACAATGACAATGCAACAATAATAGTGCATGTATTAGTGGAAGAAATATATTTTTGGACTGGCCTTATCAAAAGAGAGCGGGCACTTTCACTAATGAACAATATAGCACTTAAATTATTTCATTTTTAACTATCAATAAACTGCACAGCAGTTTTATATCAAAAGTTAATAATGATATAAAATATACTACATTTTGATAGTAAAATATAACCTTTCTAGCGATGGCTGTTATTTGTTTTAGTATTTAAACATTAAATAACGAATGCAGCAAGTGAAATAAAAAACGAATATATGAAACAACACATCAGGATATAAAGGACTATAGTATTTAGCAAAATGCTGCTCTTTTAATATTTGGATTTTTTTTTTTATTTTAACTATTTTTTTTGTCTTCATAATCAACTAACGAGTTATACACAAATTCCTGCTAGATGTTTTAGAAAATATTTTGCACAACCCAGTAGGCAACACAGAAATTTGCACAGAAAATGATTCCAAAATTTCATACAACCTTATAGTTTTATTTATTTTTAATGTCTTTTAGGGTTTCGATATAATGCTCAAGATCAATTTTAAACAAATACATGTTAGTTTATCATTAGACCATTTCTGTTTGTGTACATGGTACTTCCCATATATAATCATTAAATTAATTTTTAAAAATTGCTCCAAAATTGTATTATTATGGTGTCAAACAAATCTTTACAAAACTATTTAATTTTTTTATTTGTAAGTTTAAATATAAGATGATCAACATCAAACCAAAACATTTGGGTATTCGTGCATTAAAAAAAATAGGTGTTTTATCGATTCCTCCTCTAATTCACAAAAAGTGCATGCAGATTCCATGTCGCTAAAAAAAACGTAACAACTTGTTTCACTGGATAAATCAAATGAATTAGTTTATTTGTCACTTTAACTTTATTGGTGAGACAGTTTCCTCTACTCAATCTGCTCAAATAAGTAATGCATTTTTGTTCATGTATGAATTTTCCAACCAAAATAAAAAAGTTGAAGATAAATACTTTAGATTTATGTGCAGAATCTGAGTAATAACAAATCATTTACTCTGAAAATAGTGTTGCATGCAGAACTGTTGCAAACAATTTATTTATGTTGAATTTAAACAAACAAATTAAGTTTAATAAGGTTCAACTTAATTTGTTTGTTTAAATTCAGCCCAAATAAATTGTTTACAACCACTTAACATAAAAAAATTGAGTAAATCCAAGGAATCATCTTTGAATTTTTTTTCAGTGTATTTTAATCTAAAAGATTGTGCAAAGGTAGGGGTGTTTAAATAATGATACAGGTCGAACCAAAATTTCTGAACAAAGTCACACATACAAAATAAATGTATTAAAGTTTCATCATCCTTACCACAAAATGTACAATTACTCGGAATATCAACATATTTGGAAACAAATGAGTTAGTCGGATATATTTTCACAATATTTTAAAGTGGCTTTCTTTCGTTCTATTAGGAAGAAAGTATTTATGAGGCAACAACAAAGCTTTTCTCCAGTCTATATTATTGTTTAATGCAGTCCGATGAAATGGACAATACGATTTCTTCGCTGAAGAATTAGATGAATGGGTTTATTATTATATTTTATCATGAAAGTCGGGAGACTTTTAAGTCCAAATTTGTTCTGTGACGTCACGGCGAGAGCGCGCACGGGAATGAGCGCGCACAAAAGGACTATGGCTGAAACGGTGAGTTCTCGGTTAAAACAGTTATTCAGTTTTGGTTTTTATTTATTGCTGTTCGTACTCTGTGTTTTAATCTGAAACGTAGTTTAAATAGTTAATTTCAGAACACAACCCTAAATGTTGAGGTCTGTGTAACTATTGTGCGATAGCGCGGCAACGTTAGCTAACGTTAATTTAATCAGTCGATTAATGAACAGTAATACAGAAAATGTGAAATATTATAGATTTTAATCAAATTAAACTTCTATCTGCTACATTATTTAGCTCATAATCAACGTTATTAGCTTTTTGTAAAGTCAGATTTGGATACGGATGTTCAGGTGCAAGTTAACTTACGTTGTATTCAAAACCTAACGTTAACGTTACTTTTAGAAATCTATTTTGACGTTAAGTTATTAACTAGAAGTTAAGTTATTATAAGTAGTTCATCATTATGTCTTTCAAATAGTTTTATGCTTTTTACCGAACAGTTTAACAATTTAACTGTAACAAGTTTGTGCAAAAACAATTTTGTTATTCTGCTAACGTTACGTGTGTACAGCTAGCGTTAACTGTTAGCATGATTTGTTTTGCTGTTAAACTTCCATTTAAACCCTAAATGAGACCATGATAGTACATATTTGTGCTTATTTTAGGTATCGGACAGTGATCTCCCAGTGTCAGACCCTCCAAAACAACCTCCCAAACGCCGCCGCATCATCGACGCCTCATCCATCCAAACAGTACCTGTTTATTCCAACAAGGTGGGAATTTATTGGCTGTTTAACGTAAAGTCTTTGACAGCTTAACAAATTATTCAAATGTCATCTTATTTATTGTGTTTTAGGTGAACAGATCCTTGAATCTGAAGCCAGAATTATTTAAACAAACCAATCTTACAGGTATCAAAACTTTTAAACACCACTATTAATGGTGCCATTGTTTGTTTATGTTATACAGTAAAGGTAAAAAAATTGGGGTCAGTTAGTATTAACTTTTTTTAAGAAGACATTTTATTCAGCTAGGGTGCATTAAGATTATAAATGGCATTAATTGGTTCACCTTGGATTAAACTTAAAGTTGTTAATTTGTTTTAAGTAAATTACGTTCATCAAAACATCCAGAAAAAAGTATCATGTTAAATAGACTCACCGGCCACTTTATTAGGTACACCTTACTAGTACTAGGTACGACCCACTTTTGCCTTCAGAACTGCCTTAATCCTTTGCGACATAAATTTAAGAAAGTACTGGAAATATTCCTTAGAGATTTTGTTCCATATTGACATCATAGCATCATGCAGTTGCTGCAGATTTGTCGGCTGCACATCCATGATGCAAATCTCCTGTTCCCCCACATACCAGAGGTGCTCAATTGGATTGAGGACTGGTGACTGTGGAGGCCATTTGAGTACAATGAGCTCCTAAAAGCGAGCGAGCCAAGGCCAGTCGCGTTTCCACTGTCACTTCCGGGGCCTAATCGGGCCAAATCGGGGCTTTCTTGGGGCCACCGGCCGGCCTTTTTCGGCCCGCCGAATACCTTGGGCCAAAGAGGGCCAGCCGGGGCGGAGTGAAAGGAGAGGCGGGCAGTTTTCAGATCGCACATGAGTACATGCGCCAAACACATAAACAAACAAATAAATAAGGAAAAGAAAACATCTGGAACAAATTATAGGCTGGGGTCTTTTTGTATGATCACCCTTATGTTTCTCTTTTAAATGTAAGGCTGTTACATAAAATAATAAAGTAGTTTTAATTTATAAGTGACTTTGCTGCATCCTTCTGTTTCAATAACGCATAATAATCTTTACACCATATTAAAGACACAGCAGACAGTAAAGGTTTTCGAGAGTTTTTGTCAAAGTTTAAAAGGTGTGTTTGTGCACGTTTAGATGCCTGTATGTGTGTGTGTGAGACCGAGGAAAAGAGCGCTCCCTTCACTGCTCTTTTGATGCCGCACGGCTTTTTTCTTTTATTTTTTATTGTTTTCATTTATTTTGGAGATAATACACAATACGAATACAACAAAAAGACATTAAACTTTACAAATTTCGTGTCCACTTTTGTAGGCTCAAAACAATAGTCATATCTAGATAAAATAGCCTAAGCTTTATTGAAATAATTTAAATAATTACAAATATCGGATATAATAAAATCACATTAAATAAATAAACCAATATAAAACTAACAAAAGCTATAACAATTAGGTACTATATCAAACTGCCATATTAAACTTAATATTAAAAAGCCATCTTAAACTTTTATTTTTTAAAAGCCTCACTGAAAAAAAAAATTTTTCTAAAAGATATTTTCTAAAAACAATAAACACCGGAGAATCTTTTAAATATTATTTATAAAGTATTTGGATACGATGATATTAATCAAA